CATACATTCACGTACAGGATCCAGGCAGCGTGTGAAACTACACCCCTCTGTTTCATATTAGGAAACAGGAACAAGAATAGCTCGCTTATAAGAAAAATCCCCAAGCCCACATAGCTGGCACACTTTGCAAGATACCAATGACCTGGGGTGAAAAGCAGGTGACGCACCATTTAGGTATTTAGCATAACAAGCGTTTAGGAGGGCTGAAATCCAAATAACCAATCAATATTATCTGTTATGCATGCATTATTAGGTGAAGGGCAAAGGGTTGAATNCTATTCATGCCCTTTTTTTTTGACAAAAAAATGGGCCCGTTTTTGTGAAAAAACTTTTTGGGAGGTCTGCAGAGTACAAAAACTTTTTTTTTAATTTGCCTTTTCAAAATCTTGGTGTGTCTTATGCTCCGGTACGTCTTATACTCTGAAAAAAATGGTGATTGCTCTGTGATGAGTATGAACAGCAGTGGGTTGGGTATCTGCTCCAATTTGCCATCTCTGATATGTAGATCATCCCCTGAAACATCTGCTTTATTATACCCAGTTGTATGTCTGACCTTGGTTTAGTTTTGTAGATTTCCTGTTAAAGGAGGCTGACGTTTCAGCATGAGAGAACACATAGAAAAAGCCTCATCTGTATCATTTATACCGCAACAGGGCATAAGAAATAAATTGTATAAATTCCATTCAAACAGTGTCTCATTGTTATTTTGTTTTAACAAGTAGCCTGAAAATAACTAACAGTTCGTAAAAGCTGTCCTACTGGATCATTTCCTGTGCTACATGAATTGTAACTCCATTATCTCATTTTCAGACCATGTTTACTAACTAACTGAATAATTTTATTGAAACTCTTGATCCATATTGTTATGATAGTGTGTCCTCAGAGCAGTGTCCACTCTTAGCAACTGTATTGTTAGTCATTATCCAGGATGATGTCCTTAACCTGGTGTTCAAGACTTCCAAAAAGTGCATCGCTGCATCAATATAAACAAGTTCATTTACTTCGCTGCTGATTGTTGTTTTCTCCTCTTTCCTTCTATAGTTTTCCCACATTAAAGACTTCTCAATGAAGTTGGGTCTTTCCATAATACGTCCAAAGTATGATAGTTCAAGCCTGGTCATTTGTGCCTTTGGATAGAGCTCTGGATTAATATATTATATGATCCTTTGGGGGGGGGGGCTTCTGTTATCCATGGTATTCTTAGGAAGCCTGAGTCTTCTCAATCTTCTCTAACACTGAAGCTTAAAGATTTGATGTTCTTTCTGTCCTACTTCTTCAAAAGCCCAACTTTCACTTCTATAGGAAAACCATTGTCTGCATGATTCTGAGCTGAAGTTATACACATCTCAATATCTTTTCCAAGGCTTTAATTGACACTCTGCCAAATTCTAATCTACGGCATATTTCTGGAATGCTGGTTACTTGATAGTTGACTTCTTGGCTTCCATTACTTCCTGAACGTGCAGATCATAGTACAAGTTATTGACATTTCTTCCTTCAATTTTATTTGTTTGGATTTAGAGGTTGCCTAGGTCCAACACAACTCTAAGTGACTTACATTTTAAAAGTGAGAAACAATAAAATAAAGGGGAAAAAATAACGTACATTTTTTTTTTAAAAAAGCAAATGAACCGAGCATATTAAGGAGGAAATACAGCAGAAGCTCACCAACCATAATAAATCAAGGCCTGGAAACAAAGCCAGATTTTCAAAGACTTTTTGAACAAATGCAGGTTGTGTTAACTGTATATATCTCTGAGGGGATGCTGTACCCACAAAATATAGTCCAATAAACACTCTAGATTATTTCCCCAATTCTTTTGCTTTGTAGAAGATTCCAATTGTTACCTAGATTTGAATACATACTACTTTAAAAAAAATGCATACTCCTTGTGAAGAGAGATATATTGCTTTTTCAAATCTTGAGAGCTATTTCTGAAGAGGCAGAAATCAGGTCAACCAAAGGTGGACGTAAAATCTCTTCATTCTGAATTGGTGATGTCTTAGAACAGGGATGTCAAACCTACCTCATCACAGTGGCTTCAAGTGATGTATCAGGACTTTTTCTCCCTTCATTAAATTGGGCGTGGGCATGGCCAGCATGTGACGCATCCGGCCAAAGGACCAGAAGTTTGACAGCCCTGTCTTAGAAGATGTTTTAAAATGGCTAGATTTCTCTCTTCATAGGTGGACATTTGAAATATACAAAATTCCTTGATTATAGAACAGAACATTCTAGAAAACACTCAGAATGTTCCTTTCCCTCTCTGGACTATGATGAACCCCCTCCCAGACCATGCCATTCTGGATGCACTTTAACAGTTTCCAAAATTAATACTCCATGTTGGAAGCAGTTTGAGATATCCCAGAGATGGGGTTCCACATAAAACAGGATATCTGTACTGGTCATCTTTTCTGATGGAGAAGTACATTTAACTAAACACCAACTCTTTGGAGCTGGGAGCTTCTGTAGCCAATAGTAATATAACAATACTGAAGAAAAACTATCTTGAGGAAGTTTAGTCATACAGAAAGAGTGACTGAACTGAATCACAAAATAAATATAGAAAGGAAGAATGAATACATGATTCAAAGGAAGAGGATGACTAAGGAAGTTGTGGCTGGATGGAATGGATGAGATACTGAAAAACAGAGAAGTAAGAAGTTCAAAGAACATAAGACCAGATATGAAGCAGTAGATGTGGTGTAAGCAAGAATGTAAAGATTAGTAAGGGTGGAAAAATATAGTGAATAGGGTTGATATAGATAAGAGTTACATATGTTATAACTTTAATTGTTTTATTATTTATTGCTCCCCTTCTGCATAACATGTTCCCAGAATGGAATATCATGGTGGGTAAGGATCTTTTTACATACTTTTCTCAATGTTCCATGTGCTTCACAAAAGGAAGACTAATGACCTTTAGGTGTTAACAAAAAGATAGACAGAAAACTCTTCTTTTTAATGGAACTCAGGTAAACTGAATAATTTTGCATCCAGATATGCCCAGATAACTAAAAGCCCTGTTCTCAATCTATAATATCCAGGACTCACAGCATTTAAATCCACAATAATAGAAAGCTGATTTATGGCATCAACAAAAACCTTCATGACATGAAGAACCTAACATTTTATGGGTACATTTGACAAGCTAAAGTGCAATTTATAATTTGTCCTCTTTTTTTTTAAGTACCATAATTCTGACTAGTTGTGTGGCTAATATTTTCACAGAAAAATATAAATTTATAGTGAAAAGACAAATCTCAGATTCTTACAACCCATATATTGGATAAATGTTATTTCAGCTTCTCTATTGTGACAAAGAAGGTAGTTTTCCCAGTTGTTTTTCCCAGTTGCAATTTATGGCTGTGAAAGTTGGACCATAAGGAAAGCTAAGCACCAAGGAATTGAGGCCTTTGAACTATGGTGCTGGAGAAGACTCCTGCGAGTCCCTTGGACTGCAAGGCNTTTGTTTCCTAGTAAATTAATTCTACAATATTTGAAGTTTTTTTTTAAATGTCAGGGGATCTTAATTATTTGTTTAGTATTTCATAGCACGATGTTTACTTTTAGGAATCTTTTGAATCAGATTTCTAAAAATTACTGATGTGTAAATCTTGGAATTCTGCAGGGACTGCTTGTTAGATGGGATGGAAGGAGCAGTTTCTATATCAGAAGAGAGGGGCATGGATTGCATATGATTTGCAGCCTATTTTTCCCAAGAGGTATATAGACAGATCAGGATTATATGGAAGCAGGGGTGAAATTATCCTGGTTCGGCTGAACTGGTAGAGACAATTGTCATTGGTTCTGCGAGCCAATCATAAAAAAAAAGCTTCCGAGGATTGCACTGCTCAGCTGTGAGCCGCATGATCATTGGAAGCTCCCCCCCCCTCCCTTTTTTGAAGTATTTTTCTTGCTGGTTCAGGCAAATAGGCAGGGAAAAAAATGTTTTAAAAAGTGTGTGTGGGGGGAAGCTTCCGACAATCGCGCAGCTCATAGCTGACCTATGTGATCATCACAAGCCCCCCCCCTTTTAAAGTATTTTTTCCTTGCTATGCGCCCAAACTGGCAGGAAAAAATGCTTTAAAAAGTGAAACAAAATTGGCCACACCCACCCAGTCGCATGATAACCCCTCCCCAAGCCATGCCCACAGAACCGGTGGCAAAAAAGTTTCAATTTCACACTGTATGGAAGATATTGATATTGCTATCAATTCCACTCCAACTTTCTTCTGTAATTCACTGGCTTTGTTTGAATAATCCATTAAAAGCTGTGCCCATCTTCCATGCAGAAATAAAGCATATTCTTTGGTTATAATTATTTAATAATCTGGTTTGAAGATTACAGGAAGTGTCTGGGAAAACAGAAAATGCAAACATCCACCTGAGATGTGTTTAGATTGATAAAAGTAAAATGGGACTATCTTTTGTAATAATGGAATGAAAGCATAGGATAATTGGGAGGTTTTAATATTAAAGAAAAAAAAGATGATTGGTAGGCAGTCCTTGGGAACATGGGAAGCAGTGTGAAAGTAACTCAAGAGAGAGTAATAGAGTGTGAAGGGCCCCTCCAGCAGTTATTTTGATGATCAAATGATGTTTTAAGAAGTTGTAATCCATCTAGGAATGGGTGGCATATAAATGTAATAATAATAAAATTATAGCTTTAAGAACAGATGTTAGATTTGTTGCTGCAGAATATATGTTCAGTTTTGGATTTTAGAAGATAGTGACATCTCCAGCTAGAGTGGGGGAGGAGTGAAGACTGGCAAGCTTAGAGACCTTGCATAGCAGGAAGTGACACAAAGCTGACCAGAATCCTTGAAACCCTTATCTGACTGTTCCCAAGAGAATGCAGTCAGTCTGGCAAGTTTAATGTCAGTGCAAGGAACCAGAGCCGTTCTGTGAACTGACCAGAATACATTTTTTAAAAATTGTTGCTTGCCTGTTTACAAGAATCTCACCAGGCTGACTGCATCAATAGCTTCTACATTAATGTTTTATTTCTTTGGCTGTATCCTTATAGGGCATTGAATATCTCAAAGAAGATATATCCGCAATAGATGTGGAGGCAAAGACCTATCAGTTAAAGAGACAACAAATCCAGCAATGTACAAAAGTTCTTTATGGTGAGTATTATGTGGCAGGAATTTCTACTCCAGCTGAAATGAATTTTTTTGTGTAAAAATGAATTAAAAATGATCCACAACAAGACCTACGTGTGGCTTTCCTCAGAAAATTCTAAGATATGGCTTCATGACTATTTTTCCTAAATTTAATAGAGGTTTAGCTCTTGTACCCATAGAACTTTAGCCCAAAGGGAAATGGATACACTGCATACATGACTGGTGGCAGATGTTTGCCAGTGCTGTGGCATCCCCTTTTCTTTTTGAGGTATAGCAATAGCACTTAGCACTTAGACTTATATACTGCTTCATAGTGCTTTTACAGCCCTCTCTAAGTGGTTTCCAGAATCAGCATATTGGCCCCAACAATCTGGGCCCTCATTTTACCCACCTCGGAAGGATGGAAGGCTGAGTCAAACCTTGAGCCGGTGAGATTTGAACTGCTGAACAGCAGCTAGCAGTCAGCTGAAGTGCTGTATTTCTTGGAGTGTAAGACGCACCTTTTTC